CAGACAGACAGACAGTTAGTTAGTTACCTGGTGCAGGTAGACAGACAGACAGCCCAGGCTGTAAACAAGGAAGAAGGCCTGTAGAGGGAGACAGATAAAGGTTGACAGTGAAGTCTTCAGCCAATCAGAGCACAGATTTGTCTGCAGCCTCTTACTACAGCTGTTTTAATTTCACGTGACACTGGGAACAGTCAGACACAATTTATAACCCTCAACAAGAGTAAAACTACCCAGGAAACCATAGAAACCTCAGAGTCACATGTCAGGATCCCTCTCAGAGCGGACAGAAGTGCAATAGATGCTCGTGCTTTAAACTGTGTGGTACATATCACCTTTTTACTTGTGGGTTCATAGATTCACACCAGGGTTTCCCCGCAGCGCTTTATAGTTAAGGCGGCTGCCTTGACAACAACGCCCCCCCGCCTTGACTAGGTCCCCCAGAACCCCGAATCCCTGGTATCAAAACATTTCTAATCACATGAGTGTCACATGATCTGATGTGTTACCTCCTCCAGGCTGAGTTGCAGGTACTCTGACAGAGAGAACGGAGTCCGCCTGACCTCCCTGACCCCCCCACCGACCTGCAGACACACAGCAACACCTTCAGTTTACTGTAAATTAGTCAGTGGAAACGGGTTCAGATGAAGACTCACCTTGCTGTCACAGACCAGGACAAAACCAGCACCTCGAACCAAAGGACCAGAGTCAGGATCTGGGTCAGGATCTGGGTCAGGATCTGGGTCCCGGTACGAGCTGTGATCAAGGTTCAGATGTTGTGGAACCAACATGAAGACAAAGATCAGTTTAATGACTCTTTCAGACCTGAACTCCAGACATTCTCAAAGTTTTTTTCTTGAATCAAGAGCGCGGTGTTTCAGTTCAAGCACGTGACTTGTTGAATTTATGCTCAGAATGTGTATTACTTCACTCGGGCTGCTTTCTGTCCACTCGTGAATCATTTGCTCTCAGATTTCTCCTGTGCGCTTGGAATGTTTTGTGTTTACAACCTGTGAAAAGTCCCGACCAATAGAATGCCAGGTGTCGTTCGCTTGACTTCAGGGCGTCCCGGAAACGACGTCACTTAACTCAGAAGTTTAGCGGCTCTCCAGCCAACATGCAGCAGCAAAGTGAACGACCTCAAGTTTTGTAAGTTTTGATTCAATACTTTCATAACTGGATTAAACCTTTGAGGGAAGTGAGATTTACAGAAGAATTTGAAATGTATAAATATGTTAAAGTTGTCTGGTAACGTGGAGGAGAATCACTCCACCTGCAGCTTCTCTTGGCTCTTCCACTGACCTCGACGTCTCTGTGTGGTGACAGAGTCCGCCCTCTGCTCCCGGACCCGCCTCCCTCCTCACAACCTCCATCTCTACAGGCTGAGAGAGCCTCGTCAGGATTTGACTGACAGCCTTATCATCCAATCCCTGGGCGACGACAGCTGCTCCCGCCCACCTGAGCATCTCCTCATACCTGGAGGGGGTGGAGCCAGGACAGGATGCAAGGTCATTAAATGGACAGACAGGATGTGATGTCATCTTGTGAACAAACAGGATGTGATGTCACTGACCTGGACCCTGAGACGACAGGTAGAAGCGAACCTTCGTGTGCTGTGACAGAAACAGGAAGCAGCGAACTTAAGCTGACAGCAGTGATTGGACCAGACCCATGATGATGATGTCACTGTATGGGTGTAAACTTACGCTCCCATCGGTCGAAGATGCTGTGGTCTGGTCTCGCTCTTGACAAGACCCCTTTCCCAAAGTATCCCTAAGACAAATAAGAACCTGGGTTCAGATGATACTAAGAAGCATGGACAACATGGATGTCTGTCTAAAGGGATAGTTCACCCTGTGATCCTCCTCTGGAGCTGCGTTCACACGTTCACAGAGGACATTCAGACTAAAACCTGGTGTAAGTGACCTCGTTTCAAGCTGAATTTGAATGTCGGAGGTCCGGACACTTGGATAAAACCCAAAGGAGCAGTATGGAGGCATGTTATGTATGTGGACTTCACCCCCCCTCCATCATAGTGCTGAGAAGATAATGAGTGAATTTTCATTTTCGGGTGACCTATCTCTTAAACCTAACAAACACAGTCAGGCTTGGTGTTCTCAGCGCTGGTTATATCTGGTTAACTCAGGTTAACTCAGGTTAACTCAGGTTTACTTCTTTAGACCTCAGCGTGCAACAAAAGGGCGGGGTTTACTGCAAATGACCAATCACAGACGTGGACAGTTTGACTGACAGAAGAGCCTCATGGATCACAACAAGGATCAAACTGTTGTAGAATAAAAATGACCCGTGTCCTCCTCAGAGACTGGAACAGTCCTGTCATACACCTTAACCCTGGAGCAGGTCAGCTGTTCAGCATCAGTTACCATGGTGACTAACCCGATAACAAGGGAGTACGCTTCGTACAACTAAAAAAACTCTGAGTTAAACCTGAAGTTAACCTGATAACCACAAATCCTGCT